GGTCTAGACAAAATGACCTAAACTCCGGGGGTCTAGAATAAATGACCTAAACCCTGGGGTCTAGTTTAAGTTTTCTCATATATATATATATATCCTAGACCACAAATTGTATTATCACGTGTTAACTACTTTAAAAAAAATTTATTTATATAGGATGCCGTGTTAAAATAGTCCAGGAAATGACGTATATCTAATTTTATAAAGAATATTATTTCAATTTTTCTCGCTTAATTTCCTAATTTCCCCCCAAAACACTTTCCATTTCCCAAATCGCTTCACTAATTGCATCATTTAGTTTTACAATTTTACTCTTTATTTTTTGAGTTCTATCATTTAAAGCATTCTTGCGAGTTTCTCGTAATTGCATTAAAGTTTTTGTATCGTTCAATAAAAGCGTTGTCTTTAAGTCATGTGTCATGGTAAGAAGAGTTTGACAAGCTCTTTCCTTTTTAATTTTTTTTAAAAATAATTAATGTTATTTATTAAAGTTCTTTACATGAAAAATTTTTGTTGAAGAATAACTAATTTACCAAGTTTGCAGCTCGTAATTCACCAATATATTCATCCAATGCATTTCTATATTTATCTTTTTCAACCTCCTATATAATATTATATATATATATATATATTAAAAAAAAATATCAATTTTAGCGGACTTCCGTCATTGCTTTACAATTTATCTATATATATGCCTACCCTATTATCATCTCTTCCAAGAATTCTTAAACTAACATCAAATCCTGCAGCTTTAACCATATCACGAAAACTGATTACTAATTGTTCTATTTCATTGTCAAGTGTTTTATTTAATTCATCTTCAATATTTGAGAAAAATTCATTTTGTGTAGCTGTTGTGGTAGTAGTATCAGATGTATTTGTAGAGATATCAGATATAAAACGTTGACGTTGCATTTTCGAGCAAAAAATTTGGAAATAACGTAAATATCAAATTTAAATGATGTTGAATTTAATAAATATTTAAATGCATGGGTCAAGTTATTTTATCACCTTGTGTAACCACATCAAGTTATCAGTTTTATAGAACCAATAAATCACTTATCACTTTTCTCTCAACTTTAAAGAATGACGAACTCTGATTTTATAAAATCATTGCTAACTGTGATATTCGAGAGATAATTATAATAAAAAATGATACTGAGGACAATTTTTCTAATAATAATGAAACCAAACGCAGGTCACGTAATAGACAAAATCGAACTCAGGTAATATTTAATAATTAAAGAACCTTCTGTGATGTTTAATATCTGGTAATCCACCATTTACGGCAAGAAAAGATAGTATTCCAACACGTTTTTCAAGAGATCAAATTCTTAGATCAACTATAACAATAGATTTAACTAATGATACAAAAGAAAGTGCTCTCACATACTCTCCGCCAGTAAATTCATGGGCACATTTTTTTTACGATTGTATCAATAGAATGGAAAGAACACAAAAAATTGTGTTCTATTTGCAGAAGACAACTTAAGAAAGACGTTTCGAATTCAAAGTGATAAAAGGTTCAAAAGATGTGACGTTGATGAAATTTTTAATTCGTTTTTTTTTTCCCGGAAAACCATCCATAGTTCATAATTGTTGATTAATTTTTTTAAATTTTTAAGTTAAAATAAGAAATCTTGTTTATTGTATTAAATAATTTCGAAAAAAAAAAAACTTATTCACGTGAAACTTGGCCAATCAAAAATTTGAATGTATAATTATATTTCCTCAGGTCAAAAAATGAAATCTCCTTTACAATTTTCATACTTATGGCAAATCGAGGTGGACGTGGAGGTGGCAGTTGCTATAAGTGTGGTGAACGTAAATAACAAAATTCCCGCGTGAATAAATTTTCTCCCCTTATTTTTGTTAGTTGTTAACATAAATTCGTGCACTATTCTTTTAGCTGGGCATTTGGCTCGGGACTGTCGTCAACCTAGGGCTGTTTGGTATGTGGAAAATGACATCTTTATTTTAACATTTGCTGACTAATTTATTTGAAGAGTTTATATTGAATTTCTTTTGTCATCATTAATATCTTTTAAATTTAGCTATAATTGCGGGTATGTATTTTCCTTAAACAACTATTTCGATTTATTGTATTTCTCGAACTAACGCGAAATTGTTAAAATAGGGATGAGGGACATTTTAGGTAATATCAAATTAGTCTTTCGAAAATAATGAACTGGATTTAATTATTCATAAATGACAGTCGCGAATGCACAAACCCAACCAAAGAAAAAAAGTGTTATAAATGCGGAGATGTTGGCCATTTGGTATGTTGACAAAAAAAAAAAAAAAAAAGAATTGTACCTTTATAAGTTTTAAAGAATCAAATATTTTTTTTTTTCATTTTTATTTCATAGAGTCGTGAATGTTATCAAGAGTCAGCGACGGGCACCTCTGGATCAGAGTGTTACAAGGTTTGGATCTTGTTAAAATTAAAAAAATATTATCATATAATTATTAATTATTTACAACTAAAAACTATTCTATATTACTTTTTTTTTTTAGTGTGGCAAAGTACGCATAATAATCCTTTCATTCATTTTTTTTTCGATTACCAATGACATTAAACCAAAACCGGTTTATAGACGGGACATAAAGCTCGAAATTGTGACGACTCATATGAAGATGACTATAACGCGGAGTATCGCACACGCGGTTCTAGTTCTGATTGTTACAAGGTAAACAAATTTAATCTTATTGACTCGCGATTAATGATATATTAATGATATATATATCTATCTATATTAATACAATATTTTAACAATCTGTTTTTTAGTGTGGAAAGGTATTATTTTTGATCTTAATATAATATAATATAATTATAATATAATATATAATATATAATATAATATAATATAATTTTAACAATTTTAACATAATCCAAAGCCAGGACATATAGCTCGAAATTGTAATGATGATTATGGTGAAAACTCACGGAAGGGTGGTTCAAATGGTGAATGTTACAAGGTAGAATTTAAATAATTTAAATTTACTTTCTTCGCACATGATTATGTTGTCTTATTTAATTCTCTCCTTTTTTTTTCTTTAATATATTTAATTCATTAGTGTGGAAAGGTACAGGAGTTGATGCTTTCATGTAATTATTATCATATAATTTAATAAAAGTTTTTGTTCAATTAATAGTCGGGACATATTGCTAAAAATTGTGATGACTTTTCTGGGAATTATTACGACTCGCAAGAATGTTATAAGGCTTGTGAATGCTTCCAAATAAATTTCACTTGTTTGGGATCAACAAACCACATGACTAACTTCACAATTTTTATCTGAAATTATAATGTAGTGCGGAAAGGTTTGTTTTGAAAATTAAAAAAAAAAAAATAATAATTTGTAATAATTAATTTAATTAATTTATATGCTTTCTGTTTGTTAGGTTGGTCATACTGTCAGAAATTGTAATTACAACGACAGTAACTCTGGATTTAATAATAAAACTTGTTACAGCTGTGGTGGTATGTCAAAAGTCATTATTTGTATTTTTTTAAATATATATATCTATATTTATTTCTTTCTTTCTTTTTCTATTTTTAGGTCATGGCCACCTTAAACGGCAAGTTTTATTTCATACTTTTTGATTTTTTTTTTTTTTATAAATATATTTGTAATGTGATAATATTTTCTTTTATCAGTGATTGTACAAAAGGTCAAAAATGTTATAATTGTGGTCGATCAGGTCATCTTAGTCGAGAATGTGATGAAGCGCAAGGTTCAAAAGTCTGCTATAACTGCCATCGGGTATGTTTTATTAGTTCACAACTTCATTCATCATCCAAATCTCTCTAATACTTTTATATTTGAAAAAATAGGAAGGTCATATTCGCAGAGATTGTCCAGAAGCGGGTGAGGCGTGATAATTAAAAAAAATTAAAACAAGGTGGATGTACATGTTTAGTAAAAGCATTTGTATTAAAAATTTTGTATTTTATATTAAATAAAAGAAACAAGTTAAGAATCATTATATTAAATAAACTAAATATGTAAAATTTTCAAATTTATTCTGATTACACATCATTAGAAAAAAAAAATTCACACATATTACATATAGTATATACTATATTCTATATTCTATACATTTCATCAAAAGTAAAAATCCTTTAACTCAATTATTAAAATTTAATTGTCTATGTAATTGCATCAAATAATTATGTCAATTGCATTAATTTTCGTATGAATCAATTTCAATTATTCAAATTATTCATAATTTTAATTGCCTGTTGAAACCTTTAAGTTTTGTCAGCTGGCAAAAGCAAAAACAAAACTATTTTGCCTAATGGGTTTTTGAAAATGGAAAACTGGAAAAGGTTGAGGTTTTTCCAGATTTTATTACATAATTAATTTAGTTTTGCCAAATATATATTATAAGTTTATAATTTGTATAATGGTACTTTGACTCAAATGATTTAAGCTTGATTCCAATACTCCAATTTCACCACAACAAAGACAATTTTACATATAGTAAAACTCATGAACACATGCTTAGCTCAAAATTTTTGACACACCTTTTGAAAATACCCAACTGGTTAATATTTTTTGAATGTAAGTTTGGCACGCAATGAGACAGAAGAAGTGTTGCCTAAGTAACCCAACCACACTGGTTATGGAATGTTCTTCAGTGGCTTCTTAAATCTGCATGAAGACCCGAAACTATGCTTTTGGTGTCAAAGAACGTGCTTCGTTTGCAGTCATATACTAAGGTTAGAGACAATTTTTTTAACTATTTTTATTGCCATAAACACAAAACGAAAAATTAATAAATTTTTGATTCGATGTGAATAACGCAGTTTTTGATTACAATTTGCACTTACAATTCATTGTTGATAGGTCAAAAATCCAATAATAAAGCACACGAAGAACAAAAATTGAATTCTATTTCGAAGCTTGGATCATGGTTCTGAAAAAGTTAGCACAGATACAACGCAAATTATAGATCAACGCATGCGAAAAAAGGAAGTTTACGCGTTAATTTTTAATATATTCCTTTCTTACTTGTGCATTTATAATATCATTCTCAGCCTCAAGCTTAATGACTCGTTTTAACAGATCTAATTTGAATTCTGTATCTGCCATTATTTTATTCAAGAAACGAATATATTCAAATGTTTACTAGCATAGGCAAAAACTATAATCAGAGGTGCGTAATAAAATCGATATCAATATATTTACAAATAAAATATAAGGCACATAGGTGTCAAGTATACACATTTTTACTTTCTGATCTGGTTTATCGAAGGTCATAATTCTATCTTTTTAATAAACCCATAATTATACCGATTATTTGTTTTATATTCAGATTTACTTGTACAATTATAATCCATCCGATGTAAACATTACCATAAAGATAATCATTATTAAATGCTTGATCTGCAGTTCGTTTTTTGTTTGTATGGAAGGAGCTTACGAGTCGTTTATATTCTGGAAATAAAGCCATGTAATTGCGTTTATTATTGCGTAAACAATGGAGCTCACGAAACCGATTTACACCTCCTACGAACCCACGAAACCGATTTACACCTCCTACGAACCCACGAACCCAATTAAGAGGAGAGAAGGATAAAAATAGAAGGCAAGGTAAGTATAAAATTTTATTAAAATAAAAAAACTAAAAAACTAAAAAAAAAAAAGAGAGAGAGAAACCTATCGTCGCCGCGAGCCCACGAAGCCGATTTACACCCCAAGGAGAAAAATATTTAATATATTATATTTTAAATGATATAACCGGTTACGCGAATTATTGATTGTTTACATTATATTTACATTCTCATGACCTTGTACTGTACAATCCACCTGACAGTTTATCTCTATATTTGGGTATGACACTCTTGGTGATAATTGTTATAATAAATCAAATAAATCAAACTTTATCATTCTATTTTCTATCTAATAATAATATTATGTCAGGTTTTTTGGGTCTTCCACTGTTAATATTGACTGACTCTTACAAAATTTCTCATACATTTTTATATCCTGAAGCAAGCAAGGTTTTTTTTTTTTTTTTTTTTGAGAATAAATAAATTATTACGTTCAATTTTGTTTTTTTAATATTTTATAATACCAAAAGTACGTTGCGTATGGTGAGTTTAGAGTTGGTTTTAATAAAGACGAGGAGGATACGCGTTTAATATTTTATGGAATGCGATACATGTAATTATTCTTAATTATTAAATAAATATTTAATTTGGAAATTTGTATTAAAAAGAAATTATTTCATTTTTATTTTTTTTATATAAAAAGAATTGAAAATTATGTAGCAAAAAAATGGACACTTGAAGATGTGGAAATGGCAGAACAATTCCTTTCAACTCATAATGACAATTATACAAATTTTCCATTTCACAAGGAATTATTTCTGAAAGTCAGTCATCAAAATTGTTGTTTTGATTATTATTTTTGATTACAAATTTTATGAAAAAAAAAAATATTAAATATTTTCATATTTAAATTATTTAAAATAGTTCATCAAAGAAAATGATGGATATTTTCCAGTGAAAATTGAAGCATTACCAGAAGGAACTTGTTGTCATGTGCATACTCCAGTCTATCAAATTACAGCTGAAGGGGAATATGCACCTTTGGTTACATTTTTAGAGACTTTGCTTACTATGATTTGGGTGAATTTTGAATTATTATAAAATTTTCTTTGTTTATAATTATTTATTAAATTGTTATAATATTATTTTTATTATTATATTTTCAATTCATTTATAGTATCCATCAACTGTAGCAACACTTTCACGTCGTGCACGTGATATAATTGAAGAGGCTTTTGAAGACACAGTGGATGAAGATGGATATTTTCTCTTGGAAAGGTAAATAATATTTAAGTTATCATTATTATTATTATTATTATCTTATTATCCTATAATTCTTATATTGAAAAAAAATAATTATTTGACAAATTATAAAGTCGATTACAAGATTTTGGATTTCGTGGTTGTACATCACTTGAACAATCGATTATTGGTGGTGCTGCACATTTGGTAAACATTTATTTTTGAACTTTTTGTTAAATAATTTTTAGATAATACTAATTAAAATTTTATTTAATAGATCAACTTTACAGGAACAGATACAATGAGTGCTGCATATTATGTTCAATACAAGATTAATAATGGAAAACCTATTGGATTATCTATTCCTGCTACAGAACATTCTGTAATGTTGTCTCACAAAACTGAAAAGGTATTATTATTTTTATTATACAATCGATATAAAAAAAAATTTTTAAAACTAATTCTATATCTAAATATAAATTTTGTTTAGGATGCTATATCACGATTAATTACTCATTTCGGAAATGGTGCATTTGCTTGTGTTATGGATACTTTTAGTTATGTTAATGCATTGGAAAATATTGTACCAGCAATTGCTTCTCAAAAAATTGAAAAGGGTGGTTTTATGGTTATCAGACCTGACAGTGGAGATCAAGTAGAAGTTGTATTGATGGCTCTTAGGTATATATATATATATATATACTTGCTACATTATTAATTATGGATATTATTGATATTTATTATTATTTTTCTTTTTTGATAATTTAGAGCCGAAGAAAAAATATTTGGATGTGATGTTAATAAAAAAGGTTATAAAGTGATGCGTAAATGTGGTGTGATTCAGGGTGATAGTGTTACTATTCCATCTTTAAAAGCTATATTAAAAGCTGTTAAAGAAGCCGGATATTCAGCACAAAATGTTTTGTTTGGTATGGGAGGTGGTCTATTACAAAAATTAAATCGGGATACTATGAGTTTTGCTACTAAACTTAGTTACATCAAATATGCTGATGGAACTGAAAGGTTTGAATATTATATTTTTTTTTTCTTTTTTAATAAAAATTATTTTAATTATTATATATATATAATTAATATGATGATGTTATTAGAAACATTATGAAAATTCCCACAATGGATTCAAAGAAAATCAGTTTGCCTGGTGAATTTGTTGTCAAAAGAAATGAATTAGGAGTCAGTATTTTTATTTTAGAATTTTTAGAATTTCTAATGTGATTATAAAATAATAATAATAATATTTATTATATAGGTTCCAATTATTTATCCAAAAGAAAGTTGTCCACCTAATGATCCCAACAATCTTTTACATGTGGTTTATGATCATGGTAAAGTTATTGAATGGGATAATTTTGATATAATTAGAAAACGAGTTGCTAAAGAATGGACAGCTTTACCAAAAGTCTGGAATAACATTAGTTCAGAACTTAAATCAAAGATTGATAAAGTTACTCAGGAACTTAAAATAAAATAACCAGTTACAGTAGTGAAGTCTTATTTATCCTATTTATTACAAAAAAAAAAATTATTAATAATTATTATGATAGTAAATGAAATTAAAATTAAAACTTATATTTATTTTTAATTATAATTTATAAATAGTATTTTGTATATAATGGAATTAATAAGATCTTCTTTTTGAAATATTTTATTAAATATCATATTTGAAATTTATTTAAAATAACAAAACAATATAATTTTTCATAATACTTTGTTGAAATTATTGTTTTTTGGAAATATTGATACAATATTGTAATGATATCAACTTGATATTATGAAATATCACAGAGATATTGTGATGATGTTATTAATGTCACCACAATACTACTGCAATATAAATGCGATTTTTCTTAAGATTTATCCTATTTCAAATAATCGTTACAATGAGAATCAACATTAGTATCATATAGAGAATATATCATATCAGTATTTTTAAATTCGTCCTACTTCAATAATCATTGTGATATAGAATTGACATTAGTATCATATAGATAATATATCATATCGATATTTTTAAATTTGTCTTATTTCAATAATCATTGTGATATAGAATTGATATTAATATCATATAAAGAATATATCATGTCAACACATTTTTGATATTTTAAAATTTACCCTATTTCAAATAATCGTTATGATATAGAATCAATATTAGTATCATATAGAAAATATATTATATAAATGGTTTAGGATATCAATTTATTTTCAATATCTATATATTTCTATATATTTTCTATATAGTTATATATTTTTTTATAATTATATATTTCTATATACATTTTTCATATTATACAATTCTACAATTATATATTTCTATATTATAATTTCTTCATAATCAATAAAATCTTTATTGTATATATAACAAATTCCATTTTCAATTAAAATAATTAAAGTGTCAGATTTTCTATATAGGATGGAAAAGATATTCATTTTTATAATAAATATTGGAATCATGCTTTTCCATATTAGAGTCAGTCAAGCAAACATGTGTAAAATGTACCTTAGGTTGTTGATCCACAATATTAATGGAAAAAATAATATTCCAGTTTTCTTTGTTTTCATGACATAATTCAAATTTAGAACAAGAAGGTAAATTATTGTCTCTTGATATTTAATTGTATCACTTTATATAGAAAATTTAATGGTTATTATCATCATTTCCTTTGTGACTAATAATTAACCACATGATGACATATGTTACACCCTCAACAAGTTCCTTTATTTCTATTACATCTCCAGATTTAATTTTGATTTTGTTAATTGTTCCATTTTCATTCTTCACTCCATAAGATATGGAATTATGAAATCTTATTTTATTGGTTATTAATAATCTACTTATTTTTAGATTTTGATAAGTAACAGAAAGTTGAATAAGGATACTTTCTAGATTAAAACCTTCAATTTCTTTTTTTTTTAATTTTCAAAAAAGTTTTATATTTTGTATATAATCAAAAGATTATATTACATCTAAATAAATTAAGTTAATATATGAAAAGATTAAAATCAAATAAAATAATACCTTCAGAAATATCAGTTAAGTCATTTGTTATAAACCAATTACCAATATTTCAATTCTTTTATAATCAACATTATTATCAAAAAAGTTTCTAATACCTTTCATAGTATTATATCTTTTGATTAAATTGAGATCAATTTCTTTTTTATTGATATGAAAGATAAAAATTTTAAAAGTACAATATATTATTTCCTTAATTCCAACTAATATATTTATTAGATTTCCATATGAAATTATATGCTGAACAAGGTAAAAATTAACATGAACATTAGATAATATATTAAATTCTGGGAACATCTAATAAAATAGAATTAATATAAATTATAAAAATTAGTTTTATATATTTTATTAATTTATAAGAAATTAAACTTACTTTAATTAAATATTTACTTTCTTTATAGAACATAATATCTAAATTATTGTAATAACTATTTTAAAAATATGATAAAAATACTAACTTAGTACATTTTACAATATTAATTCAATATTTGATTTTTTTTTATTAAATTTTTGAATTAAGACCTATAGTTTCTTTTATTTTTTCAAGTAGATCTTTTTTAATATGTCTTGATATCAAAAAACATTGTAAATAAATGAAAAAAATCATTGTGAGTCATTGACATTTACTCATATAAAATAATTTAAAATGTAATATAGAGTTTTGCATCCTTAACCAATGAGATGGAAATTCAAATTATTTTCAAAACTCAGTTAATTTTTTTTTTCCATTTTGTAATAATATTTCAAGTGTCAAATTCAAGAAACAGGTAATCTTACCAGAGACTGTATAATAAAAATCTTGAAACATTTGTATATAAGGGTTCTATTGTAGTAAAGATAATGAAAATGATTCTATATCCAATTTATATTTTATTGTAAACTCTGAATATTTTTTAATAAATTACAATGTTGTCATAATTTTTTTATTTAATTATAATAATATGCATTTTGACAATGGTCATAATTTTTATTAAATAATTATTTCTGAGTTACAAAGTAATTGTAATATCCATGATTTGCTCTATGTTATTTTATACCATAGAGGTTGTTTCCTTGAGACAAATCTATTGTGACCACATCAAGATCTTCAATTACTAAGTATTCTTTATCATCAATCTTCATTTCAACATTATTTTCTAATTTTTTCACATTACATAGAAATGGTTATATAAACTTACTGAATATTGCATCAAACAGGATAAATCCAATTACAAAGTGATTTTTTAAAAGTTTTTTTTAATGGAAGGGCATATTACCAAATTGTAAATATACTTCATTCAAAAAATAATAAATAATATAATATATCCTGAAATCATTATAGTATAAATTTAAAAAAATTTTTAACTGATAAATTTTTTAGATTATTAGTTCTTTGATATATTTGTATGGGAGAAGTTATCATAATTTTATGGATCTCATTATGAAAACATTTGATTTTTTATATATTATTTCTTTAATAAAATAATCATATTAATAAATATTAATAATATTATTTATTATTTTTATTGAAAAAAAATATTTAATTTGAATATTAAATTAATTTCAGAAACAAAATGAAAGTTTTATTTATCAAGCCATAAGGATTTATTATTATTTTCTTTTTTTTTTCTTTGTATATTATATAAAAGTTCTTTAAATTCATTATATTTTTTAATTTTTATTAGAATTTCTTTTTTATTGTTATGAATAATTGTATAAATTTGTTTCTTTATTATATCTTTTTATAATAAGTCAAGTTAAAATGCAACAGAATCATTAACAAAATATGTAATAAAATATTAAAGTTAAAATTATAAATTAAAAATTAAAATTATAATATTATTATTGAGATTAGTTTTAATTTTATTAATTTGTTTTTTTTTTTTTTAAATGTTCTAGTGAGGCCTTGCCTCAAATTTATTAATTAAGAAAAGAGAAAGTCTCTTACATTATTGCTAATGAAGATACATAACTTATCCTAATTTTATTAAAAGATGAGATTCAGACTAACTCTAAAGAGACGTGCCTGCAATCTACCACCTGACAAGTGAACTTGCCCTTGATATGTTAAGGCCCTGTCGAACAATCTATTTTATACATATTTGTTTAACAATAACCATTGTGGACTAGTCCTATTATATGCTCTTTAATTATATAGTTATAAATGTTTAATTTATGTGTTTTCTCATCTATTTTACTATTATTTAAACTATTATTATCAGTGTTATTATTGTTATTAATGTTTTCACTATTTATAGTGTTAGTATTATTTGTATCATTTGTTACCTTCTTCCTATTTACTAAGCTTTTTTTTTTCCTTTACGAGTTTTAATACTATTATTTCTTTCCCATTTCTTAAACATAACATATCTATGTTTCCATATCTCTTTTTGTACAAACAATTTAAAATGTTTAAATGTGTCATATATAACTTGATTTAGTTCTTCCACACGTTTAATTATTGTCTGTAATAAAGATATTAATGATTGCGATATTAGTCTCATAATTATATCCAAAAATAAAATTTTTATTTTATTTTTATGCATTCCTTCTACACCTAATTTCATTGCTTTCAAGTTATTTAGATTACTCTCCAAAAAGTTATTAATGATGTAGGAACCATTACTATGAAGTTGTTCTATCAAGATTGTGATAAATCAGTTTTTACACAATTCTGGTATTACTGGATTGTTTTCACATGTAAAAATATGTGTCTGATCCTCTACTAAGAGGCCGCAGCAAAAACATTTATTTGTCTTATATATTGATGAGTATCTGGTCTTAAGTTTTTGTAAGGTTGGAAGCTCATTGTTAAACATCTTCATGTTAAATAATCACATTCTATTATCCTTAGTGTTAGTTTGTTGTTTCTCTTCATATAATCTTGTAGTTGTGTCCCATAATAATTTTCAATTGATTAGTTTCAATTTTGTATTACTCAAATTATCAATATTTCGGTTCAATAATCTCCACTTACAGGACTGTTTAGTTGCACTATATTTCTTTGCAAATTTATGTATAGGTTCTTTTATTATGAGGAAATTCCAACATGGTATTGCATTGACCAAAGTAAGAACGTCTATGTTTGGTTCACAAACTATTCCCCTCTGTCCCTCCTTAGCCAATCTATCTGCTTCATCATTTAATTCAATACCTGAGTGTACTTTTATTTTACTATATTTGATTTTAATTTTTTGCATTACTATCAATTCATGAATTACTGTTAACAATATTCAGTGATTTAGTTTCTTCCTCACTTTGTTCACATCTTTTGTTATTATCTGTAGAGCATCAATTGAGGCTTGGTTATCTGTGTATATCGTTAAAGCTAATTCTTTTGAACATGCATAAACTGCAGTGAGTATGGCTATCAGCTCTGCTCTTGTTGATAATAAATATTTTATTACTTTTCCATAAAACTTATATTTTTTCCCCTTTTCTCCCAATATTATCTATTCACAACCTATTATAAGTTTTGT